CGTAGCGGCCTAAGTACACGTAGCGGCCTAAGTACACGTAGCGGCCAAAGTACACGTAGCGGCCTAAGTACACGAAGCGGCCTAAGTACACGGAGCGGCCAATTTATTGTCTGTGAGTCAGTAGCCGTCAGTAATTAGCTGACGGAGTAGCGAACTCGTGACAATTTTTGATCGGAAGGCTCTTGGTTAAGCATAACTTGGTTACATATTGCGTTCCGACTGATAGAGATTTTGATAGGACAATAGAAAATTTTTAGTATGGCATAGATATGATTTTTTTACAACTCGTATAACCAATTCTAGTGCTAGAAGAATGACGATTTAAATATACTGTTTGAGGTGTGAAAATCTTGCTCAACATAACACTTATAACGGGGATCTATACAAAAGTACACAAATTGGAATAACCTGCTCAGACAGCACCACCAGTGTCACCATCACTTACTCTCCGCCGAAGATGCACCACAGTCTGTTCTCCTGGCCGCCCCTGAAGAGGGTCTTATTGGGCGACCCGTACATCAGGAAAGGTTCGATGTTCAGGTTGGTTTTGTTGGCGTTCTCGATGCCGTCCCGAGGGGGCACCACTTTCAGCTTGACGGTCGTGCCGAGGCTGTAGTCCTGGGGGGCGATCTCGCTCACCCCCAGGCAGATGTACAAGATGTTCGAGACGTCAGAGTCGTCCTCTGCAATCACGTGGGTAAAGTAGGCTGTACCATCGGGACCAACGACAGTGCGGTTCGACTTGAAGAAAGTCAGCTGAGTTTGGCCTTCTGCCACCTGCACCGTGGACTGGATGGCCCAGGTCACTTCGGGTGCGGGGTCGCCTGGGGGAAGGAAATAGTAAATAAAATTTATACTCAAAGGAAAGATGATTAACCTTAACAATGCAATAAAATTTATTGAATATTTCTAATCGAACTAAGTAGAATCCACCATCCGACGATTGTTGAAATTCAAATAAAGCCAAAGCTTCTATAGTTGATGTTCAAATAGAACCAAATATCCTACAGTTATTGTTCCAGTAGACCACCAGTACTTGGGACTCAGTAGCAGTCGCTAGACTTTCTGATCAAGTCCTTAACCCCAATATACTGACGAAGATGGCTCACATTATCCCTGTGTTACCGACCAACATGTCTTCTGTCCCATAAGCCTGTCTTCTGTCCCATAAGCCTGTCTTCTGTCCCATAAGCCTGTCTTCTGTCCCATAAACCAGTCTTCTGTCCCATAAACATTTCATTCTAAATCATTCGCAGCCTGCATCAAGATCCTTAATTCATCCCAAAACTACAGATCCCATCAACAGGTTCTATCTTTCATAGCAACCGCGTCTCTCGAAAACCTCCTTTAGGACCCTAGGTTTGTAAGCCCCCAACAGATCTATCAACCCCCATCAGGCAATAACCCCTCAATAAAATAGCACATGCTTTATAATCAGGCAGCACCACCATGGCCCCACCCCTCTCCTAAAGTACAACACCCAATAACCCCCACCGCACCAGTGGCGTTGGGACAGGACATGCTGAAGGGCCTGCCGAGCTCCGCAGTGAGCTCCACCAGCGGCTGACCGGCCGTATCAAAGGACACCCTGAAAAGTAGAACTTGTTGGTCGAGATAATACCTCATTCATTATAAGTATTATTCTTATCATTATTATGAACTTGGATGTTGACTAAAGTAAAACAAAATGAATGCCAAAGTAGCAAGAGATTGGTCATCGAGAACATCTAAAATAATGAAGTTATCAATGATGACCACGGTATTGGTCAACGCGTTGACCAATGACAATAAAGATAACAGTATAAGATTGACGTTAACAAAGGAAAATACATTTCTATGCACTTGGAGAGATTAATACACGAGCGCTAGCTAGCTGGGATGTGATAAATTTTAAACATTGATCTAAAACCTACTAATGAAAAGAAAGGTGTTAGGGAGCAGATGAATTTGTTATGAGAGTAGGGCAATGAGAAGGAAGGGGTTAGAAACGGATGAATTAAAGGTGAAAGTTAGGCACTGAGTAAAAAGTTGACGTATATCGGATGACTTTGGATCGAATGCGAGATAATGGCTAGCTAGTATTTTTCGGATCCTGGCTATAATTCCACCCACACACAAGTATCTCACGATGTACAAGCAATACTGGTAGCTGTGGTACCTGGTTGCGTTGAGGAGGTACACGGGGTCGGACTTGGCAACTCCGAGGTCGTTGTAGGCGATGCACTGGTACCAGCCGTTGTCCTTCACTTCGGG